ATAATTGAGAAATTAATGAATTCTCTATCTCATAATTAAGACTAGGGTTGAAAAATAGACATTACTTTTTGAAAGTGAACACTTACTTTGAGACAAACTAAAATAGAAACATGGACACTTATTTTCAAACGAATGGAGTATTTGTTTTTGTTATTTGTAGACATCATTCGTCTTCTAACAATTAATTATTCTTTATAGTAATTTGTATGTATTAATAATCGGTTAATACCTTATTATATTATTTATAAACTAAGTTTCTATTTACCATATTTTTTATACATATAAGTAGTTACCTGAGATTTAGATGTACACTTATTTATTTTTTAATAAAAATARGTAGAGGCATCATCCTCTTTTTAAAAATAAATAAACTTCATCATCAATCAAATAAATAATGCATAAGTTATCCACACCCTTGTTGTTACTATTACTCATTTTATTTATTTTACAACTTTATTCTTAAACAAATCTCTCTCTCTCTCTCTCTCTCTCTCTCTCTATATATATATATATATATATAAATTTCACTAATTAGATTTTATTAAATTTTTTTGAATTATTTAAATATATTTGTTGATGATTCTATTAACAACTAACATAATATTTATATATATAATCTTCGAATCATTAACCAAAATACTCATACACGATTCCCACGCTAGTTTGAATAAAAATTGTACTCCGTTACATATTTAAGGCTCTTATTTTCATATTTTAATTTCATATGGTGTTTATAATAAATTATTTCAAACAAATTAAATCAAAAATAAGTTTTTGAATATAAAATTACAATACATTTGTTTTTTAATTCGTTGATCAAACTTATTAGGTCGCATAATTTGGTCATAAAAACTTGTGATCTTATTGCGATGTTATTGTGTGGGACATATAGCTATTTCTAAATAGATGTAGGGGGCGTTTGACTTAATGGAATGGTTTTAAGAGTTTTGGATTTCGTGGAAGGATTTGTAATTGGAGGGATTCAGAAGGATTTAGAATATTTGTTGTGTTTGGTTTGTAGGATTTGAAATGGAATTGAATTCCATTATTTATAAAAAAATTATAAATAATTAAATTACTTTTTTTATTAAATGATTATTACAAAACAAATGTTTTAGCTTATTTTAAACTATCATTGCATACAAATCCTATAAAATCCCATGAAATACCAACCAACCCTATGGGATTTCAAATCCTATATTTGGAGGATTTCAAATCCTATATTTGGAGGATTTCAAATCTATGAAATCCTTATTGGAATGGAATTCAATTCCAAATCCCTCTAGATCCAATTCAATCCCGCAAATCAAACGGGACCTTAGGACTCATTTGGTTCAAGATTTGGGATTTGAAAATGGAATCGATTTTCATTCCCGTGCTGGGTTTAAAGGAAAGTCCATAACTAAAATCTCGAGAATTTAATGAAAATCTCACAAACATTGGATTTAGAAATCTATGGGAGTACTGACATTTCATATAATTTGTTTGTAATGATTTAAAAATATGTTAAGAACATTTGTTTTGAAAAAATCAATTAATAAAAGGTAATTCCGTTACTTTTACAATTATCATACTTTGTTGTTATCAATTATCTAAAAGAATTGGAATTCAATTTCTTTTCAAATCCTACAAACCAAACATACCAAAGATTCCAAATTTTGTCATGAAATCTAAATTCCTCAAAAATATTCCTTCAAACCAAACGCTCCTTATAGTTTTTTTTAGCAAAAAAGAGTATCCGTTTTAAGGAACCCAATTTATCATAGTGCTATTTGATGGTATTTGAACATTATTTTAAAACTTGCGTATAAATACGAATATAAATTTTAGAGTAAAGTATACTTTTGATCTTTCACTACTAGAAAAACAGGTATCAGCGACGAACATCAGCGAGGGAAAATATCCCTCGCAGATCAGCGAGGGATTAGCGAGGGATCAGCGAGGGAAATCCCAAAAAACTAAATCCCTCGCTATTCCCTCGCTGATCTGCGAGGGAAATTTTCCGTCGCTGATCCCTCGCTGATCTGCGAGGGATCAGCGAGAGAATTGCCAAAAAACTCATTCCCTCGCTGATCCCTCGCTGATCTGCGAGGGATCAGCGACGGAAAGATTCCCTCGCAGATCAGCGAGGGAATAGCAAGGGATTTAGTTTTTGATCAGCGAGGGAAATACCAAAAAAAAACTTTCCCTCGTTGATCCCTCGCTAATTTGCGAGGGAAATTTCTTCTATAAAATCCCTCGCTGATCCCTCGCAAATCAGCGAGGGATCAGCGAAATGACAAAAATTCAGAATCCCTCGCTGATCTGCGAGGGATCAGCGAGAGATTCTGAATTTTTGTCATTTCCCTCGCTGATCCCTCGCTGATTTGCGAGGGATCAGCGATGGAATTTTCTATTTTTCCTATTTTCTCATTTTTTATGTGTTATATGTACATATTTTTATATGTTGATATCGTATGTATGCATGTCATGTGTTGTTTGTGTGTGTGTATATATATATATATATATGTTGTGGTTGCTAACCGCAATATATGCATGTGTTATAAGTATATATACCYGTCGTGAGGGAAAATGATATACATTCACATATACATATACGTTTAAACATATATTCATTCATCGAATCGTGGTTAGCAACTAGTACATATATATATGTTTATATATAATTGACCGACGGGTATATATATATACATATAACACATACAACGTCGTGATCGACATATATGTATATTACACGGGCTAACGGGTATATATACTTATAACACATGCATATATATATATATATATATATATATATATATATACACGATACCTAATTATAAAAATATAACACATAAAATTCAAGAAAATAAGTATGTATGTATGTATATGTGTTGTTTGTATATATATATATA